AGCAAGGCTGGCTGGGGAATTCTGGGAGTTGAAGTCCACATATCTTAAAGTTGCCAAGGTTGAGAAACACTGTATTAGATGAGGGAGGCACCTCATTCGCTGTGGTCTGTTTACAGGACAGTAACCTGAATGAGAATTGAAAAGTAACGATGCATGCATTTCCTTGCTGCTGATCCCTTTATTCTTCTGCAATCCCCAAGTCTCACAGCAAGACCAGAGAGGGGGAAAAAGACGGCTGCATGCTGGCTAGGGTGTAATACGGCTCGAAATAGGCAACCATGATTTAGAGAACGTAGCAACTGAAAGCTGAGATTTGGAGGAACCTAAGAGAATAAGTGCCAGTCCTATTCTTCAGGCTTTGGCCATTCCTTCAGCACATGGACTACCATGTTGGAAAGGTGATGGCCCTTTGTGTTTCCTTCCTTCCAGGTGAGGGATTAGGCAGCGAGGAAGAGGAAGAGAGTGAAGAGGAAGAGGTTCCGCAGCAGCACCGACCTGAGCTGCTAAAGCTGGATGCCAGGATGGTTTCAGGGAACTGCAAGAGCCTGCGCTGGAGGGTGGTGCAACCGTCTGGCAGCAGCAAGGTCCTAGCAGGAGAGGGGCCGCCCATCTTGGTCCTGCAGAAGGGCTACGAGTGTGAGGACTGCGGGAAGGTCTTCAGCTGCAGCTCACACTACAGCAAGCATCGGCGCACGCACACAGGCGAGCGCCCTTTCCATTGTGAAGACTGTGGCAAAAGCTTCAACGTTAGCTCTAACTTGTACAGACATCAGCGGGCGCATGCCAGTGCCAACGCCTCACCAGGAACTCCCTCCCCCGCCCTCCTGCCCACCCGGGGCTTGCCCTACCAGTGTGCTGAATGTGGGCGGTGTTTCCGCCGCAACACAGAACTGGTGACTCACCAGCGGCTTCACACTGGCCGGCTGCCCTTCCAGTGCAGTGACTGTGGCAAGAGCTTCTCCTGGAGTTCCCATTTTGCCCGGCACCTGCGCATTCACACCGGGGAGAAGCCCTACCCCTGCAACGAGTGTGGCAAGAGCTTTAGCCGCAGTTCCCACCTCTACCGACATCAGCGCACTCATGGCACCAATGCAGCCGCCAACGTGACCCGGGCCTACATCTGTACCTACTGCGGGCGCAGCTTCAGTACCACACTACACTTCGACCAGCACCAGCGTACCCATCGCGGCCGCAAGCCCTACAAGTGCACCCTTTGTGGTAAAGCCTTTGCCGATGGCTTGGCACTGGTGAAGCACCAGCGCCTGCACTTGATTGGGGGGGACCAGAGCCACCAGTGCTCTGAATGTGGGCAGAGCTTTGGGGGGCGGTCCCAGCTGGCCCGCCACCGCCGCCTCCACGGCACTGCCGATAAGCCCTTTGGTTGTGGGGAGTGCGGGCAGAGCTTCAGCACCCGCAGTCAGCTGGCTCAGCACCGGCGGCTTCACATCTCTACTGATAAGCCGTACCACTGTGGGGAATGCGGGCTCAGTTTTACGTGGAGCTCCCACTGGGAGCGACATCGACGCATTCACACAGGTGAGAGGCCCTACTCCTGTGGGGACTGTGGCAAGCGCTTTGGGCGCACGTCCCACCTTTACCGACACCAGCGCACCCATGCTGGGGGACAGCCCCACATCTGCCCGGACTGTGGCAAGAGCTTCAACAGCACCTTGCATTTCCAGCGCCACCAACACGCTCACCACCTCAACCCAGACAGTACACAGCTCCCTGCCCATGCATGTGGGAATTGTGGCACGCCGTGTGCTGATGCCTCCGCTTTGCTCAAACACCAGTGCGTGCACGTGGATGAGAGGCTGTATCCCTGCCCCCAATGCGAGCAGCACTTCCGTGGGACCTCACACCTTTACCGACATCTCAGAAGTCATGCTCACCGGGCAGAAGAGACAATACTGAGACCAGCTTCCCCACAGTATAAGGAAGTTGAACTGTGCTAAGGAGAGGAGGGGGTTAGAGAGAAGCCCACAATTTTGGCTAGTAGTGCTCCTGGCTAGAATTCCCCAGGTGTTGGCCCAATCCAAAATCCAATGTAAGTGATCCTATTCAGATGGGTCTTTTGGCTTGGCGTTCCATATTTCTTTCTGGGGCATAAAGGAAGGAAACTTAGAACCTCTAGAACCGAGGCAGAATTAGTAGCAAGATGGAAACAGTTTCAGGGTTTTTATCAAGACGTTAAAGACAAAACCATTCATCCTGCCAGCAGGTACCAGTACAGATAATCATTTCCCCTGCTCTGTGGCTGCTCTCTCTTGTGTCCAGAAGGCACTAAAATCCTATGAGAGAAGGGTGGGCTCACCGAGGTGGGCTGTATCTGTGGATCCTGCATTCCTTTGCAAGGACACTTGGCTATACAGAGTTGTGGGTCCTTGCAAATGGGTCCTTGCAGCAGGCCAAGGAATCTATCCCATAGTCAAGAAAGAAACCATGGTCATTATTCATCAAGGGTAGATTTTGGGTTTGGAATGAAACAATGGGGAAATCCTACACAGCTTGCAGGAGCTCAGTTAATCAACGTTGACAATTAATTTGCCCAACTCATTCAGATGGTGATATAGGGGTCTTTGGATTATCCAGTATGTTTGTGGCAAAGATGGGAGTAGATCTGACTAAAGGAAGAAGTGATTGAAAGCTATAACATTCAAGTGGGAGGAAGCACAAGAACCTATCTAGTACCTAGAGAAGTGTTAGACTACAACTCTTACAATTCCTGGCCACCATGGCCATTTAGCCACATCTGGAGGGCATCAGGTTGAGGGAGGCTGATATAAAGTCAGCTGATACCATATTTGGTCAAGGTTAGTGTATAATATGTTGGCTCCTCCCATGAAAAGTCCAGATGGCACCTTCCCTCCCACCCTCATTTGCAGAGATTTTCTGCACAGCCATCTGCAGTGAAAAGATGGTCAGGATTGTCCAGTGCAGAATATCCTGATGACTTGCACCCAATCTTCTCTGGTCTCCAAACTGGTCACTGACACACTGCATCCAAGGTGGGTGCCTCATCTTGTCTCATAAGAGCAGCCTCTGCAACACTGGACCACAGCTGTCCACTGTATCTCTCATAAACATGACATTGGCATCACAATCAGTTTTGTGAGGATTAATGGACAAAAGTATGGGATTAATGCCCAAGAATTTGCCCAGGCCCACCCTTCCTTGTGCTCTAATAGGGAGTCATTTAAGGGGACAGGCAGCATCACAGCAGAAGCTTTACCTACACAACTTTCCCCTGCAGCTAAGCTATGATATTATGCAGACGTTATACTGCAGGATACTGCCAAGAGACAATAACCTTAACCAAGGACTCAGTACATACTTCCCAGTTCCTGAGCAATAGGGATCTCTTTGAAATGCCCCACCCTTGATCTTTGCAGAAGTCATCTCATCAGCGTGGTCACAATTGAGGCCTGGGAGATACCTGCAGCAGAATGAAATGACAGTCCTGGAGTGGTAGAACAGATGGTGTGATTTCAAAGAATAGGAGGGGGGGTGTCACATTTTGTTAAGTTCCCCTGCAGCTGGAGTGTCTGCAAGTGTGGTAAAAAGTCAAGGTGGCAACTGCAATAGCACAGTCAAAGCTCTACCTGATTTTTATGTGTCTTGCGTGTTGCACATAAGAAAACAGGCAAAGCTTTCATTACATAGTTGTGGCTGCCACCTTGACCTTTTTGACCATACCCTGAGGATACCCCTGCCCTGCAGAAAATGTAAAAACCTAGCACAACATGGAACAAGCTGGGATGGAAATATGGTCTCTAGTTTGCTACCTTTTATCCCAAAGAAGCTTTTATATAGGGGCACATTCATATAAGACATGCCTCCAACTATAGACTGAAATGTTCTACTTGTGGACAAATCCTGATAAAATGCTCAAACTAAACACAGTTTGGTAGGATATTTGGTCCAGACAGTGACCTTTCCTCTCCTTGTTCCAGATCTCCAACTCATGCCTCTTCTTTTGACTGTGGCTAGTTGCGTTGTGAATTTTTGGTAATCTTTAATTTAATAGTAGCCTGTCATGAAACTCAACAGGTGAATATAGCCAATCAAATTTTGCAACCATTTGAAATCCAGAAACCCTATGAGAACAACTAAAAGGCAGTCCAAGCTCTACCTGTCTTCCTTCTCTTGCTATAATAGGCAAGAGAATTTGGGGAAAATCATAATTAAAAAATTGAAGATGATATTAAGCTGAAGTTTTCCCCAATTTACATAATATGTTGTTTGTGCATCTGGGTTTTTCTGGAGAAACTCTCTGTAGTTGCTCAAAGTTAACACTGACTTGATGGCACATCATCCATCCATCAGTCGATCCCATTTGGGATTGCATTTGCACTAGCTATTTATTTATCCTGAAATTTGCCCTTACTTACAGGAGGGTTTGTATATTTCAAAATGAAACTAGTTAAATTCTTACCAAGCTTTAAATACTTTAAAATACAGCTGCTGATGATGGCTGTTGTGTTAAAAGAGCATTCAGAGTCTAGGTATAAATATAATCTAGACCAGTGTTGTCCAAACTTGGCCACTTTAAGATGAGTGGACTTCAACTTCCAGAATTCCCCAGCCAGCCACTGATCTAGATACACAACAACATATGCTCAGAATGGAACATATTGTATTTCCTAACACCAGAGTTGTGATGTTTATTTTTAGTGAAAATAAAAATCACAACAGGCAAAGATAGGATAGTTTTCCATTAAAAAAAACCCTACCCCCTACTTATACAACCAATTTTGCTACCTCATCCTGCTATATCTATGGCCCCAGAGCCACTGCTGATCAACCCAACTCTAAACTACAATTATGAACCTTTACAAGTTGCTGATTTTGCTTTACTTCATGACGGCCCCAGCTATTCATAGGGATAGATTTATATGACATTTAATTACACCATCAGCATAAAACGGTGAAGGTTTCTTGGACTGGACTATAAGGGATTCCATATTTGAATATATCTCCATAAATACAAAGAATATACATGCAGAATTTTAGACCCAGTAAAAAAACATGGGTCAGATTCTTCCCTGCTATATTAACTTCTGTGTGCAGAGATTCTATCCTGCCTCCTCCCTCCATTCCCATGAGGGCATATTCAAATATGATCTCATCTTTCTGCAGCCCAAAATAGTATATTTCAGGTTTACCACTTGATAGAATGAGTCCAGCTTCCTTCTGAGCCAATATTCCGAAAAGTGGATCAAAATAGAGAAGGTTATAAATTAAACAAAGCTGCCTTATAATGAACCAAATCGCGGGCCCACCTTACACAGTATTTTTTACTATCACTAGCAGTCATCCTTCAGAGTCTTCCTAAGTCCAGTGATTAATATCCCTTGATGAATCTGTTAGAGATCGAACCTGCTCATGCCCTGTGGGGACTTATTTATTCCTTTGACAATGGACCTTGGACTGGACAGTAAGGGAGGTCATCATGGGTGAGTCGATTAGATAGAGAAGACGTAGAATGGAACGGTGTTAGGATCAAGGGACCAGCCCTTCAATGGATGTGGATAGTTTGCATGATCACAGTCCACAGGCCCACTGGAGCAACCACACCAGTTCTCCATCAGGACTGTTGGTGATGCCTGGCTGATGCTTCGCTGCTCAGTGCCTCAGGTCTGGGAACAGCAACCAAAAGAGCAGGGAGAAAAAAGCAGGAAAGGTCTATTGGGACTGAACAGTTTTGATCTGATGCTGTTCAGCTCAAAGAAGGCAGGAGAGCCCAACCACCAGAGGCAAAGCCTGCTCTCACATACAGTCCTGCATGAAAGAGATGCTTGTCTGCCTTCTTTGCACATGCCCCTTGCCTACAGATTATGCATGTCCCAACTTTGTTCCCCCTCTTAGGGAATCTCTGTCCTCATTCCCTTTCCTTCCCCACCACTTCATGCCTCCCTTCTCATCTGCCATACAGCCCTGCGCAATATCTGGACATGCCAAGTTGATCATGTTTTCTAGAGTGCAAATTTGCTGTGAATGCAACAGAAACTCCAGTCAAGCCCTCGGACTCCATTTCTAGATTTGCTGAGACTGCACCATAAGTAAGGGAATGTTCTGATGCCCAAATGAGGAAACCTAACTGTGATCAGTCAGAAAAAGTTTAAGCTGATTTGTTCCTCCTGACCCTTTAATAGAGGTTTAATGATCTGAGATCAGACACAGGAAAACATCTGGAGCACAGAATGCTGGCTAATCACTGCAAACCATAGTGGTGTTAAAGGAACAGCTGTAAGGGCCTTCCCCAATCTATCATTCTCCAGTTTTGTTGGATCATGCAGGCTGATGGGTGATGGGATCTGTATTCCAAGTCATTTGCAGGGTCCTGCTTTAGGGAAGACTGCACTAGAAGGATTAGTTCAAAAGTCTGGGATCCTGTTCAAATTGTCCATCTCTTCATTTTAAGGGGCAATCCAGCATAGAGGGAATTTAAATGTGATATATCTGGTTTCCAAAGAAGAGTCAGCTCTGTATACTTGATCACCTTGAACAAAGGTTGTTTGCTGTTCTGTTCCATTCCATCTTGCTGGGTGAATCACACAATCCCATTTTGATCTGAAAGATCCATTTATATATTTTATGACCCATCTATTCCTGGTACTAATTTAGTATTAAGGCAATTGTAGGAGGAAGCGTTGAGGTTGGCTAGCAAGCAAAAGGTTCTCCTCAATCGATTCTAAATTAACCAGGTTCAAGGGTGGGGGAATCCCCTTCTTTCCTCTCCCTGCACAGTGAAGTGGGGAATAGCAATATCTAATGGCAATTTGTGGTGGGAACGGAAGTAGAAAACTCACACAGTTATTTTGATTGCCTCTCCCAGGATCTCAACAGGTGTCCACTGTTTTCAGGATGGATGAACCTTTCAAAAGGTGCTAGAAATTAGAGCCATCGCCTTTATGTAGGACGTAGCTCATGTGTAGAAATTGTGTGCCAACTGCAGGCCGTGGTCAGTGAGTCCATTGCTCCATGATTATTTAGCAAGGAGTTGGTGGTTTATTGTCCATAAGATGGGGCCTCTTCAATACAGCCGTGTCTGAAATGATCAGGAATCTGTGTGTGTTGTGAATCAAATAGACTAGGGGAATAAAAATGTTTCAATCAACAAATCTTGTTTTTATGCCTAGTGCAAGTTTTGTTCCTCCCAGAGTTTCTTTGGAAATATAAACATTGCCTTATTTTGTAGCTAAGGCCCTGGCTACAAAATCTTCCTGACTGGGTTTGCACATGGCACTAAATCCCAGCTTCTTCAGTCATGGTTTGTGGAATAAGCCACAATAAGCTGGGTGCATACAACATTTAAGAGAATTTAAATAAATCATGATTTATTTAAACATTTAAATAAATAATGATGATTTACAAACCACAGTGACAAGGTTCACATAGCAGGCTAAGCTAGAACCAAGCAAATTACATTATGGTTCAGCATGTCAACCCAGTCCTATCATTATAGTTATAAAGCTCTGATAAAACATTTAAATTCCCCTTACATTGTCATACATTGACTTTTTATCCTGCCCAGTGATGTGCCACACACAGATGCAGGCATTCACAGACAAAATGGTTCTTGTGTAGTTTCCCATTAACAAATTGGTTACTCAATTATATGAAACACAAGAAGGTTATCATTCTGCAAGGATGGGTATGACCTGCTAAGATCCTCCTCAGGGAATCTGCATACAGTGCCAGGAGAATCATAAAACGTCTGATGATAATTGCCTGCTTCACTTCTTGGTTGAATGACAAACTGTTGGTTGGGGAAGGGAAGCACAAAGAGTTGCAGACCAGAAAATACACAAATATTTACCTGCCCTGAAATTATTATTGTTCTGATGGGATAATGTAGACATCCATTGATCGATCATCAGTGATCAATCAATCAATCACTGGGGAACCTGTGGCCTTCAAAATATGGCTGAACTACAACTCCTAGCATCTCAAGAAAGGGATGTGAATTGAAGCATACCCAACCAACAGTTGTTTGTGTGTGGGTCCAGCAAATGGAAACCACTTCCCCAGGAGGCAATGGGTTCCACCATCAAACTGCTCTTCCTGAAATGTAGGTCATTATTCTACTTCTTATATTTGGGAATGACAGAAAGCAGAGTTGGACCTTCTTCTGTGTCACCCCAATCCCTAGATTCATCTTCTCACTGGAGGGGTCTGTGTGTCAAAAATGTCAAGATGGTGGCTGTGATGTCTGTAGAGAAGGCAGGGCTTTGATTGCAGCTGCCATCTTGATTTTCTAATTTTTTAAAGTTTATTTGACACCCCCCCCCCGGAGATTCCTGCTTCTCAAGACTAAGAAGTCTCAAGACTTCTGTTTCTCTGAATCCTTCTTAAGATGGGGAGCCCAGATCAAGGTATCTTTTAGCCCTTCGAGGTAGACCAGACAAGAAGCACAACCAGGAGCATTAGCAGTATCTTTATTTGTAAGCTGACAATAAACAGAATCTTGCAACACTGAAAATATTTCTCCTTTCCCCTCTTTTTAGTCTCTGGAAAACTAGGGAGGGTCCCTTCTGAAACAGTTCCCGTGCTTTTCCCCCCTCTGCGGACTGAGCTACCTCTTATCAGACGGTTGCCCTGGCTGTGGGTCTTCCTCCTGTCTCCCAAGGTCATTCCCACATACCATCACAGTATCATACTTGAAGTAGGGTCTTGCTAACACAAAATTACATCAACGACAACTAATATTAATTCCCCTAAGTGTGCCTACAATTGTGTCTTCTTTTCTGGTAGCCATGTCACTATGTTGACTCTGGTTCAGCATGTACTAAGACTCCATCTCTAAGATTATATCTAGTATTATTAATCCTCAAAGGACTATTGTGTTCAAGGACATCTAGTCCAGCCCTCTGCTCTGTATGAGCACCACAGGCTTTAATGCAACTACAACAACCCTGAGAGGTGTTTCTCCTGATATTTTGGCCCAAATCTTACCCGCTGTCTCTGGATTTGCCTTCTGGAGCAACTGAAAGCACCTTTGTGTCATCTTCTAACGGCACACACATCCTTTTGTTGTTTGAAGCTACTTTGTTCTTCGAGTTCTGGATCATCTTCACCATGTCCCCCTCTTCTCCACCATTCCTCATCCTATCAGGGTTAAACAGGGGGCATTTGCACCCAGACCCTAAAGCAAGAGGCTGCCAGAAAGGGGCGGGAGGGGGGCGGGAGTATGCTGCTGCCCGGGGTGGTACACCGGGCAAACCAGACGCGCGTGGCAGGGATTTTTTTCGGAAGCCCGTGGCCAAGATATCTAGGGAGCCAGCAGAGGGCTCCGGCTTGCCGCTTTTCAGTCTTGGGGGCTGCGGTCTTCCCACCCACCTCTTTTTTCGCCGGCTGTATCCGGGGTTGAGCTTCCTGGGTCGGGAGGTGGCGGCTGAGACCCTAGTGATTAGGGCGCCCCACCTCCCCAGAAGAGCACAGCCGGAGCTGCTCCCCCTCGGGTCCACCGGCGCCCCCTCGCAAGCGGGGCCGCGGGGCTTGGAAACGGCTGCAAACCCCAGCGCCGGAGGCGGCGGCGGCAACTCCGGGTCTGCGGTCATCGACCCGCGAACAGCTGGAAACTCCAGAGATTAGAAGGAGAAGGCTGGAGAATTAGCAAGAAAAGCCCGCTTCTCTCCGGGGGGCGGGGGAGGGGAGAACCGAAAGGAGCAGCCAGAGGACGGAGCCGAAGCTGGGAGCCGGCGGACTTCCTTGAGAGCGAGGCCCATTGAACTCAGCGGTGGAGCTTAATTTGAAAGGGCAGGATCCTGGAGGGCTCCGAGCAAGATCTGGCCACTCCTCTGCACATCCTTGCCTCCCCCAGCGGCCAGCCATGCCCTGTCTGGAAATGCACGAGCAGCTCTTCAAAGCAGCCTGGTTTTTTCTGCTGGATGTCCCCTGCAACTGATTTCAGAGGTAGCTTGCCTCTGGATATGGAAGTTCTACAGGGCGGTCCTGACCGTGAGCCATTGATAACTCCACATCTTCCATTCTACATTAGCGGCCACTGCTGTCGCCACTTGGTGTGAATTCCGTAAGTTGATTATACCCTGCAGGAAGAAATGCTTCCTTTCATTGGCCTAAAAGCCCTTGCCAGGGTCCTTAAGATGCAGGGGTTGGCCTTCACAGTCCCTGGGTTTCTCCGTTTCTCCTACATGGGCAGTTTTCTCGGGACCTACAGCAGAGGTTCACTTACTGCTATAGCTAAGCCTTCTTCCACCAGTTCCTCTGCCCATCAGCCTTTCCCTCGCTGGTATCTTCCAGAGACACCTCCCCACAGCCCAGCCAGCATAGCCCTTGATCAGCAGCTGGCTGGCTGGCTGGCTAGCTAACCTGCCTTCCCCCTTTCCTTTCCTTTCCTTTCCTTTCCTTTCCTTTCCTTTCCTTTCCTTTCCTTTCCTTTCCTTTCCTTTCCTTTC